ATACTTTAGAAGAATTCCAAAGGTTATGAAGAAAGAAATGTTAAGCACAGAGTATCTCATGAGACATTTATTCGATGACGACCAAAAGGAACCCATTGGTGAAAAGTTTATGTCCGGCTTCTTTGTTCTCATTAAGATAACAGAGATTGGCATACATAGACACTTTCCTTTAATAGTTTGTGACCCTTGAACTAAATCCAGAACTTAACGTTCCCAGAAGTTCAAACACTTGCTGTCTCATGTATGTTGACCATATAACATTACAGGACCTTATAAAATATCAAGGTGTCAAATGTGAAGTGTTGCAAGGATACTATTACGATGGAAACAGAGATATTAGAATAAGAGATGAAGTAAAGAAGTTGTTTGAGTTAAGGTTAAAGTATAAGAAAGAAGGAAATCCTTTGCAAGAAAATATAAAGCTCATTCTGAACAGTATTTATGGCAAAACTATTCTATCTCCTATTGAGTCAAAAATAACCATAGTAAATGACAAAGATGCTATAAGATATGCCATCAGAAACTACAACCATATAGTGAAGTTCGAAGGTTTGGATGGTTCAGATAAAACTATTTTCAAGCTAACGAAAAGCATTTGCAGACACTTTAACTTCTGTCCACTTGGTGTAACATTCTGTCTATGTCGAAGAGAATAATGTGTGAAGTATTCTGTACTGCTGAAGATATGGGACTTCAAATATTTTACCAGGACTGTGATAGCATGCATATTTTCAATGAAGACATACCAAAGCTTGCAGCAGAGTTTAAGAAGAGATACGGTAGAGAACTTATAGGAAAGAACCTTGGTCAATTTCATAGCGACTTTGCAGAAATAACACCTGGAAAACAAAGTTTAGCTTATAAAAGTATTTTCTGTGGAAAGAAGACCTACATAGACTTACTCACTAACGATTTAAATGAAGTTGCATTTCACTGCAGAATGAAAGGCGTGAAGCAAGATGTTATTGCTTTAACCGCTAATGAAATGTTTCCTGAAGCTATACAATGCTATTACAATGAAGATAAGAACATTCACATACCTGTTGGAACATATGACAAGACTCTGAGTTCAGTTTAATGAAACTTTACAAAGCACTTCATGATGGTCAAGAGATTGCATTCGACTTATGTAAGTCATGTCAACCTTGCTTTGCTGAAAAGTTCAACTTTTCAATAACGACTAAAACAAGCTTATTCGTAAGTTGAAGTTCTGAGGTCATGGGCTTCGCCCTTGCCGCTAGCGGCTTATTTTTGTCAGCAATGAGGTCATGAATGAGGTCATTTATTTTTGTCAGCAATGAGGTCATTCGTGATAAAAATAAAGCTAGCGTAGATTTTACAATACTGCGATGGTAGAGTTTAAGAGTTGTGCTTCAATGTAGAGACAGTCCTTATGGTCTGGAGGCAAGAACACTGGACATTTATGGTCATGAGTGGAGAACATGTCTATCCAAAACTCACGATTGAAGCCAGTTAATTTATAGTATTTAGGGTTAGGAAGTGGTGAAGTTCTTTGTATGACCAATGAACTCATTTTCAACGCCTTTGGCTATATTAGAGTAAAGTATTGCTTGCTTTCTATCCCAAATGCCAGGTGTTACAATCTTTGAAAATTCATTTTTCCTCGGAAGCATTGCATCATAATTGAAAACATTCTTAAAATCATCACTTGGTTCGGAGATTTGAAATCTTATACGTAATGGATTTTCTTTCTTTTTAGCGACTTCATTGAATGGTAGAATACAATGAATTGACAGTCATGTGTTCCATCTTCATTTTCATTAAATTCATAATGAAAGTCTATAAGTTGTGGCTGACTACCTTCTTCCTTCATTGTGCAAGAAACTCACGTAAAGGCTGTAAAGTTTGTACTTCAATGTTGAACTTTTTCTCGAACATCTCATTAAATGAAATCATACATTGCAACAATGTTGTATCGTCTTTTAAGTATTTGTATATGTGAATGTTTTGGGCGCTTAAAGACTGTTCGTCATTTTCTATCTCGACTTGAAGTATAAAGTCAACCTTTCTGAAAGCACGTGTTATATACATAGATGTTATGCCAATGTACTTCTCTTCATTTATGTTCACAATCCAGTCTGTTGGAAACTTAAACGTTACTCTGTTCCCCTTTATTTTGACGTCAGGGTTTTCACTACTGAACGCAACAGTTAAAGGTATTTGTCTATACATTTAATTCGGATAAAAATAAACCATTTACTTTCTTTTGCTTCAGCTTCTTTAGCTTTTTGTTCTTCCTTTGCTTTTGCTTCTTCTCTAGCTTTTTTCGCCAGCAAACGTGGGTTCTTCTGTCTTCCAGCAGCTAATGCAGCTAGTTGTTTTTCACTAAGTTTTCTCTTTGGTCTCTCTGGCTTTTGTTCTTGTTTTTGTTCCTTCAGTTCGGATAAAATTTGCTCGCGAATTTCTTTCTTCAATGCTTCAACATCTATGACACCTTGGGTCTTGTCCGTAGGGCTTGTCTGAGTCATTTGACTGCAGATAAAAAAACTAAATTAAAACTTTAACCGATGTAAAATGAGCTTGTCAAAATCAGAGCGAGAGTCTATTATATTAAATGACGCAAGAGGAATACAACATCCTTTCTATTACGTAAGTCAGAGTAAAGATGGTAAAATATACGTAAGAAAAGAAAGGTTCCATTAGCGAATGCAGAAAGCGACAACATTAAGGTGTATGGCAAGGGTGAAGTCCACGAAGCCCATATAAACCTTCTGTTCAAACTGAAAAGTCAATAGAACAAGAAGAAAAGAAGCCAGATGTACTTTCAATAACGAACCAAGAGCTTATTGCAAAGTTTGTGAATTTCATTGAAAAACAAACCGAGTCAAAGAACCCTGACCCGCCAGTGAAAGAAGTTGAGACAAAAGAGAATGTACAGTTCATTGAAAATGTCAAGAAACAACTTCCACCACGAATGCCAAGAAGAAGAGTGAGAATAATGAAGTAAATAGATATTTTTATCTGAAGTAAATACATGCAGAACGAACACTAAACGAATTTACTCCAGCAGAGCATATTCATCAGATTCGCTCATATTTCGATATCATAGACAATGCAGTTCAAATTGGTGACACTAATAGAAAATATTCTGACGCAAA